ACACACGCACACACACACACACACACACACACACACACACACACAAACAAACATACACACACACACACTAACAGAGTCGTTGCAACAATCGTTTTTGCTGCCTAGGCAAAAACACATAAAAATTTGTCAGATTCAGCCTCCAGGCATGTGCGGTTCTCATGTACTGTCCCGCGAAATTTTTTGGCGGAAAAATGGCTAGCTCGGGAACCTGGAAAGCTAGGAGGCTGAAATTTTCAAGGAATGTCCCCAGCACACGTACAACATAAATGTATCAAATCCAGCTTCTCAGACACCATGTATGGCCCCATGGACATGCTTGGCGGGAAAATAGCTAATTCGGGAGCCGGAAAAGTAGGGAGGCTGAAACTTTCAGAAAATGTTCCCTGTTCAATTACAGCATAGACAATTAACTTCCTGAAATTCGGGGATCAGTATGTCACACATTTCTAGGTATTGGGTTTCCGACCAATCTCATTACGGCACGAAACACTGCAAAAACGCATGATCGCACGGGCCCGCCCGGTACGCGTTGCCGATGATTTTATCCGTCGCTTTCTCGTAGTCGCTTTCCTTCTGAGTATTGGTACCGCAAAGTACCCAGTTAATGCTTGTTCTGGGTTTGTGTTGTTTGCATAATTCCATAACTGTTCAAGCCGCGTGGTCGGTATTTTCAAAATTTCAGTTTCCTAGTTTTTATGCGTTTTTATTGTGAAGTGCTATAGCAGCGTTTTGCTAGCTTTAGCAGCGCTGTAGCGTTTTTGTTAGCGCTGCTACAGCTAACAAAACGCATATTGTTGAGAGGCCGTCTGCGTGTGTGTGCATGTTCGGAAGTGAGGGCATTTTGTCATCCACTTTCATTTCAGCAGCCAGGAAAGCTGGGAGGCTGAAATTTTGGATATATGTTCCTACGCGATGTGTCATTCTCCCGTTTTAAGATCTTCCCCCCCAGGCGCCTAGAACTCGCGTACGGACTCCTCAAAAGGTATGCAAATTTCTTTGGCGGGGAACGATTCGCGAACCAGGCAAGATATAAAGCTGAAACCTTGCACAGATATTCTCTGTGCATGTACGAGCTAAAGATTTCAAAGTCAGCTGCCGCGCACTCTTGTGGAGCACGTACGATCGCGTCAAGGTTTGCAACTTGGTACTGCGTTAACTGGAAAACTTGCCGAAAAACAGTGACTGAAATTTTGTGAGCATATTTGTCGCTCCTGTAGAAAATCGTAAAATCGTCTACCTAAAATGAGCACCGATTTGCACTTGCGCCGCGATTTAGGGCCCTTCAAAGATATTTATAGCGAAATAGATATTTCGCTTACTGGATAAGCTGCGAGGCTGAAAATTCGCTGGGATATTCTATTTTCAAGTGCGGTCTTAATTCTGCTTGGACGTGAAATTCCCTGCAGGTTGACATGAGAAATACTCAACTTTACCGAAAAATCAGGAACGAGTGCGTTTTGTAGCGAATGATCGCCCTCATCCAAATATATAAATGAGCATTCAGTTCATTTGCATACTTGGATTTTTTGACAAACGACCGCTCGAGCAATACTTCCACTTTTTAGTGGGCTGGAAATTTGCATTTTTTCAAAAAACGAGAATTTACCGAGAAAACGACCGGGCTTCATGCAAACCCAGGCTGGAACGAACCGGGCGGGCCCGTGTGATCATGCGTTTTTGAACTGGACTTGAAGTACTCAGATTATTAACTGCATGAGTGGTTGTTGCTTTACATCTACCTTTTGCAATCACTAGCATAAATCACCATAAATTTTGCATAAAGTAGATGTACAATTTCCATTTAACGGCCGTTATTTAAAAGCAATCTGGCTGTTCAGCAAGAAATTTTTCCGCCAAAGCTTTTAGTTGCCCATACGTAAGAACCACGCACACCTCACGGCTGAATTTGAAATACTTAAATTGTACTTGGACAGGGAACATCCCCTCTAAAGTTTCAGCTTTTCTAGCTGCCGAGTTAGTAATTTTCTCGCAGGAAGTTTCATAAGTCCTTACGTAAGCAGCATGCATAGCTCTGGACTGAGTTTGAAATATTTGAGTTGTACTTGGACAGGGGATGTTCTCCCAAAATTTCAGCCTTCCAGCCTTTCTGGATACCGAGTTAGCAATTTTCCCCCCAAAAATTTTGCATGCCTGTGCGTGGATACCCTAGGTACCTGTAGAGCTGAATTTGAAATTTTTAAATTGCATGTGGACAGGGAACATTCACCTAAAATTTCAGCCTTCCAGCTCTTCTGGTTGCCGAGCTAGTGATTTTCCTGCAGAAAATTTCATACACCCTTACGTGAGTACCATGCATAGCTTGGGGATGAGTTCGAAATATCTGAGTTGCAGTTGGATAGGGAACATTCCCCCAAAATTTCAGCTTTCTAGCTTTCCAAGTACCCGAGTTAGCAATTTCCCCCCTAAAACTTCCACACGTTCTTACGTGAGTACCACGCGCACCTGCGGGCTGAATTTGAAATCTTTAGCTAGTAGATGCATAGGGGATATCCCTACAAAGTTTCAGCCCCTTAGCTCGCGTGGTTTCCGAGATCGCTTCCCCGCATAAAAATTTGGATATTTTTTTTAAAGCGTCCGTGTGTGGTACCTAGGCGTCCGCGGGGGATGAAATTAAAACGGGAGGGTCGCGCATGGTATGGGCAGATAATTCCAAAATTTCAGCCTTTTAGCTTTTCTGCTTCTCGAGTTGAAAGTGGGTGATAAAAAGGTGCGAACACACATACACATACGTACACACACTAACACACACAGACAGCCTCTTCCCAATATGCGCCTTTGCAATATACATATGCAAAAACGCATAAAAGCTGGTTATCGTGCACCTGAGGTCCGTGCGGCTCTATAATGCACCACCTTCACCCCGGCCGACGCCCTTCCTCCTGCATGTCGGAAAGGGCCAAAGCACGGCCAGTATGAGCCCAAGCGTTAGGCTACAGCGAAGGGGTCATTCCTGCTATTAGCGGCCTGCGAGTTTAATGCAAAAACGCATGATCGCACCGGCAAGCCTGATGCATTCCGGCCTGGGTTTTTTATGCGTTTCTGCACATATGCAAATGCGAAAACGCACATTGCGACGACCCCGGTGTGTGTGTGTGTGGTGTGTGTGCGTCTGTTCGGGCATTTCAACTCGGTACCCAAGCACTCCGGCGCCAAAATTTTGCGAGTGGGTTCCCCAGCAAAGTGCCACTCCAAGCCCGCGGCACCAATTCTCAAGCACGTCTAGGCCCCGCGTACGAGCGTCTCAAAGTTCTGGCGGGAAAATCGTTAACTTGGGAACCAGAAAAGCTGGAAAGCTGAAATTTTGGGGTTATGTTCCTCGTCCACATAGAACTCAAAGATTTTAAATTCTGCCCCAGGTGTGCGCGTTTCCAACGTACGGCCCCGTGAGGATCCCTGGCGCGAAAATCGCTAGCTCGGGAACAAAGAAAGCTGGAAGGCTGAAACTTTCAAGAAATGTTCCCAACTCAACTACAACTTGGATTTTTCAAATTCAGTCCTCCCGTTACGCGTGGTTGTCACGAACGGCCCCGTGGAAATTTTTGGCGGGAAAATGGATAATTCCGGAACCAGGGAAGCTGGGGGGCTGAAACTTTCAGGAATTGTTCCCAACTCATTTGCAACTTAAATTTTTTAAATTCAGTCCCTCGTTATGCGTGGTTGCCATGTACGGCTCCGTGAAAATTTCTGGCGGGAAAATGGATAACTCCGGAACCAGGAAAGCTGGAAACTCAGGATTTCAAGGGAATGTTTCTGTTGTGTCCGTTGCGACACACGTTGAGTTCGATTTTTATTAGTACAACAGAAAATATCAACACTGGTAGTTACGGAGCTCCGAGTCTATGTTTCTTCGGTTGGTGCTGACCGGGGTACCACGGTCAGCACCAACCGAAGAAACATAGAGTCGAAGCTGCTGATGGGGAGACGTCGATCGTTGTTGTCGGCCGCACAGTCCTGTCGATCGTCAGCACACTGCCCTAAACTTCTCCAGTCGATCTACGTTCCAGATCAGAATTGTGTGCTGGAACGTTCTCGAAAGGGGAGAGCAAAATCACTTGCTCCCAACACCTTCCCCTTTTTGAAGAAGTGAACCATACCATTATAATTAACAAACACGACTAAATCACTGACACGTAATAATCAGCAAATATTAAGTAATTAACACGAAACAAAACTAAAATAACAAAATCCTGTATATCACAAAAAATTCAATAATATGTATCGTTTGAGGGATCCACTTGTATAAGCTGAATCGGTTTTCGAAGACGTGATGAACGTCTCGGATATGCGTTGTGAATCTCTGTACGTTGCTGCTGATTATCGGGTGTGCTGGTGACAACTAAATGTGGATTTATTGCTGCCTCTGCAGTTCGTTGTCCATATTCTTCGATGTCAAACGTTTCTAACATTGTTTGCAAAGTATCAGAGTCAAGCCGATCAGGACCATTAGAGATTCTTTTCCTCAACTGATCTGCATGTTTCCTCAGGATTTCCTTTCCCACCTGAACTTCATATACTACACGATCAATTTGTCGCTTTATTACTCCATGGACCCACTTATTCT